CCCCCCCTCGCCCTACGTACGGCCCCCTTAGCCTTCTTTCTCCTCGCGGCTCGCCCTTTTGTGGCTCCTCGCGGCCGCCGCGGTTCTCCACCCCTGCCCGTGCCTTTCTGCGGGGCCGGCCCTCTCAGCGGGACTACAGAGCCCTAACTTGTCTACATTTACCCCCTGGGTTGGATGACCAATGAGTCCATTGCGCCAAGAGTCCCTCCTTTTAGCCCCGCGCCATTCTCCCAGAGTCAGCTCATGCTCTCTGTTTTCACGACCTCCGACCTCAGGCCATGGCAACAGTGGCAGGAATGTCAGGAGTGATTGGCAGGATAAAGAAGGCAGCCCCTCTCTCCTGCACAAGCAGATTTGAGCCACTTTGAGGGGCGAACAATGGCGGATTTGGGCTTGATTGGATCACAGATGAGCCGATGACTGTCAAAAGAGCGCGTCGTCTTTACATAAGCCCGATTATCTCCTCGGCGGAGACGAGAGGAAAGGTGGCGGGGGCATACCGGGGAGCTCACTCCCACGCGGCGCACCTCCTAAAGGGGACGCGGCATCACACGAGGGCTCGTCTACAGGGCCCGGACCTCTCTGGTCCGCCCGGATCCTTTTAACAAATCTATTCAGGCGACGATGGGGGCCCTCGTACATGTGGCTAGAGTTGGCTGAGGGTGGGAGAGCGGGGCCGCCGACACATGGAAGCCATCATTGTTCAGTCCGTGACCATCCCATCAGGGCGGAGAGAAAGGAAACGAGGGAAAGGATACAGGCCGAGAGGGAGACGCTGACAGAAAAGAGCAGTGGGATGGGAGAATCAAAGACAAATCCCCTCGATAATCTGCCTCTTTAATAGGGATTAGAATTCACCAAAGAGCCTATATACGAATACTAAAGCGCCAATGAAGACTTTATTCACACTGAGAGTTTGAGGGGCTCGCAACAACCCCCGAAAACTCCGCAGAGAACGCTTGCAATCCCAATGCGCGGCGGTGTTTCTTTTTTTTTTTCCTCGCTGCTCGTTCTTTCCCAGCATGCACCACTTTTGAAAAGTTTCCGCGCAGGTTGGATGACAAACAACTGCCATGTAGTGTGAACTTGAGGAAGTTTCTCGCAGCTCCAGCCAGGAAATGCTAATCAAATATTGGATCTGCTCACATTTTTTTTTTTTTTTTTTTTTATTGTGCCTCCTTTCATAGCGCAACTTGTTTTTGGACATGCGGTGTAAGCGATGAAAGGCCTGTTTGATGTCATTTTCAGCGCCATCATGCAAACGCTCACTGATATCCAAGTTTGAAAGAATGACATATTGTTTGGGTTCTTGGAAGGACAGTCGCTCGATCTGGCTGGTATGAAGCGCAGGGAAAATAAAAAGGGAGGTGCGTATGAGTGAGAGAGAGAGAGAGAGAGAGAGAGCGAGAGTGGCTAATATTCTCCTCAGCTGTGCCGATAGCAGTATGTCAGATTTGGCAGATGAAGTGAAAATGGCCTCAAGTGTCTGGCTCCCTTCCATGTTGTTCTCACATCAATGACAACTCTCACTGCGCCATCTCTCTGTTGCTCTCGACAGCTAGGGTGTGCTGTTTATTCTCGCTTGTGTTCTGATCCAGTCGCTCGTTGTCCATGGACCGATTCAATCTACGAGACCGACATAAATGTCAACCTCTTTACACTCTACTAAAGTCTTGTTTGGTGTTTGCTTTTAGAGGAGCAAGCATGTGTTTTTTTTTTACAAAAGAATTCTCATCATAAAAGTGAATTATTATTATTATTTTGGTTTTTTTAGCCTCTACAGGTTTGTCAAAATTATCGGAAATGTGGTCCGTGAACCATCTCATTGATACCCGACTGCCAAATAGTAAATCAATATAACAATTGGGGCCAATTTTAAATGGAGAAACGATGACAAAATCTGTTGTGACATATTTCAAGCCACTATTTTGTCATTATTAGCAGTAAACACGCCATCGGTCAAATAAGTGGTAAGCTAAAAATGAAAAATAAATGAATGCATGTGCTGTACAGTGTTAAAATGTAAACTTTGTATTCTCGCACGGTAAAGTCAATCACGTACGTCAAGGTGGCCAGGCAAGTTCAGCAGTATGAATCACTGAATTGAATATAAATACCATTAACAACATTTCAAACATGAAATACAAAACATTAGAATGAAGCTTTTGACTATGCACAGAGCCTTTTTATTTTATTTTTTTTACTTTGGTCAGTCAGCTTTAAGTACAATTCAGTTGTATTTAACTTGGCACAGTAAAATAGTTTCATTTATTTGACAGCTCTTTGTTTTCAAAAATGTATTCACGCATAGTTTTTTTTTAATTTTTTTTTTATGTGCAATAGATTATAATCGAATCATAGTCCAATGTACTGGATTTAAGTGTAGTGTTAATGTTCGAACTGTGCAAATTGCTCCAGTGTCAGCCTGTTTATTTTATTTTATTTTTTTGCTTTGGTCAGTCAGTTTTAAGTACAATTCAGTTGTATTTAACTTGGCACAGTAAAATACAATTTCATTTATTATTTGACAGCTCTTTGTTTTCAAAAATGTATTCACGCGTAGTTTTTTTTTAGTTTTTTTGTGCAATCGATTATAATTGAATCATAGTCCAACGTACTAGATTTAAGTGTCGTGTTAATGTTCGAACTGTGCAAATTGCTCCAGTGTCTCACAATAATTGCCTACACTGTAATACGTTTTAGCCATAAAACCTCTGGCTTGTTTTCGCTGAACAATTAGACATGTTGCTGATGATGGTGGTACTTGGAGAGCGATTGTTTTAATTTATTTATTTCGGTGGTACTTGGTGTGTGGGGGAAAACAAAATTTGAATCACTTTTAAAGACCACACGCTAAACAATCTTGGGATACCATCGTAGTCACTCTTATCCTTGCTCCAAATAAGTGTCCCATGACTAAGATTGGGATTTTAAAGGGAGCTTTAGGCAGTGCAAGTTTTTGCCATTTGTTTTATGGATGACATTTTTGCTCTTGACAAGAATGTATTCATATCTGTTTGATCTACCATAAAGCTATGAAATTAGTTCCTGGCATCCGTAGCAAACGCGTACATGATTTGAAGTTGATGCACACTAAAGACAGCGTGGAGCCCAACCTAAAGTGTTGGCACAAGTTTCGACATGGATCTTTTTGATACATTTGTCCATAGATAGAATGAAGTAGTTCCAAAGGTAGACCAAAGCGGTCTTAATGGAAGTGGCAACGCACGCAATCTGAGCATCTCAGATGAAATGTGTATTCTATTCTTGGGTTTTTGTTGTGATGTTTGTTCCCTGACTGCCGATATAAAGCGAGGTGCTCTCGTTGGATATTACAAGGATCGTCAAAATTGGATTTATTGTAAATTCCAAACCCTCAAGCCCATTTGTGTTCTCGCTTGGGCCAGAGTGAGGGTGCATAAAAGTCCACATGAAATTCGTATCGTGCCCGTTACCATCCTTTCCGATCCTGCTGTATTTACTGATTTTCATTGAGCCTTTTCTTCAGCAATGTATCATTTTCAACCCTTATCGTTGTGCGTTTTGCTGTCATCTTATCTGCCATTTTTGCGCCTAAAATACAGCCTTGTGTGCGTCCAAACTCGTTTTCTTTCACTCAATTAAGATCGAGTCGCGGGGGCAGCAGCCTAAGCAGTGAAGCCCAAACTAGCCTGTTCCCATCCACTTTGTCCAGCTCTTCTAGGAGATACCGGGGCATTCTAAAGCAGGCAGGGGGACGTACGAAATAGTCTCTCCAGCGCGGTCTGCTTCGTCCCCGGGACCTCCTTTCACCTCTACAGGGAGGCAACCTAATCGGATGCCCGAGCCACCTCATCTGGCTCCTCTTGATGTGAAGGAATCCTTTCCGGATGACCGAGCTTCTTACCGATATGTTTAACGGAGAGCCCAGACACCCTGTGGCGCTCACTAATTTCAGCCACACGTACACATTATACCTGTCAGAAATAACCACATTAGTATGATTTCTCCTTTGAAAAAGTTTTCTCCTCTGTGAAAAACCCATCAGTCATGACGCATTCGGCTCTCCACTCCACGCAATTTTGTGGTCATGTAAAAGCGGCTTTATGTCCCCCCCACCCCCACCCCCCGGGGCAGGGGAGGGACGCATGCGGGTCCCTCAATCATAAGCCATGCATGCATCCAAGTTGGACCACCGGCCACTGGCCTTTCCTGCTTTCTGATCCATATTTCAGAAGTAAAGCAGCGGTGCCACCAAGGGGCCGTAATCCAACATTAAAGCTTAAAAAGGGGCCGAGCTGAAAGCACAGGCGCGGGTCCGCCAGGTCCTGGAAATCTTCTATTTCAATTTCCGTAGTGCTCGCTGGGACTTCCAAGTGGCTGGCTTCAGCCTGTGACTTTTGGAGAAAGGACAGCTTTTCAGGACCCTTCTTGCAAGAAGGGGGTCACCACCAGATGGCTTTGTTGGCAAACGGGATGTGACGCTAACAACGAAACTGTGATTAATAATCAGGCAAATGATGCGAATATGTCAAGCAGCTATTGTAACGTATCAGAGGATCTAAATTGCACTTCTTGAATAAATGATGAGAAATGACAAGTTGTCATTTTTCAAAACCATGATGAAACTTTGAAATAAATAGCATTGTTTTGTGAATTTTGAACCACACTTTGACACACACACACACACACACACTCTTAGACATTTACTCTGCACTTCAAATTAGTCCAAGCCATTTTCCCCCAATAATAAATGACTATAATGACATTTATTTAGTTTCGAAAAAATATATTCTTTCAAGACAAATTCATATCCTGTATTTACAATTTTCCAAAAGAAACAGTCAGAGAGAAAAAGAACATCCATAAATGAGAGGTACAAGCGAATCGGTGACAAGAAAACATCTTTTACAAGTATAGCCTAAACGGTAACACTCTAACAGGTTGCCCTGACAAAAATAGTCTTTGTTAAATTGTTCTCAGTTAAATAAATGTTGTTGTTTTTTTTGTTGTTGTTTTTTAAATTGGTTAGTATTTTCATAACGTTGATGTGAGAGCTCTCTGTGTCGCCGTGCCATGGTGAGATCTGTTGGGGGCAAAAAAAAAAAAGAAATATAAGAATTGGAAGTGACAGTGACTGAATTGCAAATAATGCACAATTTCAGAAAAAAAAACGAAAGCTAATTCTAAAATGTGTGCACATGAATTGTGTGTTCAATTTAATGGGCGGTATCAATTCCCATTCCTGTAAATGAAAAAGGAAAAGACTCCTGAAATGCGGTTCAAAGTCTTTCACCCTCTGCTCCATTCCTGCTATCAGCGTTTTCTTTGACATGCATTGGCTGCATTCACTCGGGGGAGGCGTGAATAAACGGCTGCAGATTATTTAAATGACCCGCCTCGGAGATAACTCGGAGGCCCCGCGGGGCTCAGCAGCCTGCTGCCTGACGAGGCGTTAAAGTGGCCTCTCAATCACATGATTTATGCGCTCGGAGCTCAGCCTCCGCGGCCGGTCGGGTGCAACGGTGTTTACCCCCGCTTGAGGGTTCATTTAGCAAGAAATCCGAGCGGGGGGGCGTCGTCGTCGAGTTCGAATGCGTTTGGCGTTTACCTGTCCGCGATGAGCCGGAATGGAGACTTGAGCGACTCCGGCCTGTGGTCGCTGTCTTCATCTGGAAAACAACATTGATTTGTCAATTGACGCTACCGACACACTCGTCATCGCGTCCCGTCGTCGTACCGTCTCGTTTCGGACTAAAGCTTCCGGACGAGTCTCCGTCGCTGTCGTCTTCCGTCCCCGAAGTCCCGTGTCCGGGCCGCGCGTCGCGGCGCGCGGGGGGCGCGGGGCCGCGCAGAGGCAGATGTCCGCCCTGCGCTCCTCCGAGGAGCGACCTCATGTTCAAGAGCGAGTTGGCGTTGAGAAAAGCCGCGTTGGCCCAGTTGTGCAGTTTGCCGATCTGGCACGTGTATATCCCATGACCCGGGAGCAGCGCCGGGTGTCCGGCGGGCGCCAAAGCCGGGTGGTGCGCGTGTGCGGCGTGGCAGGGTTTGTGCGAGCTGTCCGGTGCCGTGGCGGTCTCGGCCAGGGACCAGATTTTGGGTTTGCTCTGCGGCGGTCTCTGGCACTCCTGTCTGCCGGGGGAGAGATCCGCCAGTTTGGCCGCGGGCTGGGCTTTATTGAGCGAAATAGTCGCGTCCACGGAATGCGTCCTGGTGCTCTCCGAGCTCCGAGGCTCCGTCGAGGCCTCCCTGCCGGCCGCGTCCGACTCCTTCTCCCCCTTCCTGCAGCCCTGCTCCGCTGCGGCGCGCGGCTCCTCCGCTCTTTCGATCTCGACCGTTTCCAAGTCGATCTCCTCGTCTTCGTCGTCGTCGCTGCCGTTCTTGCCTTGCTCGTCCTCGTTGTCGCTGCTGAAGATGCGTCCGTCGCGGTCCTCGGCGCTGCGGCCCCACGTCACCTTATTCTCCTTCTTGAGACGCCTGCGTGCGTTTGCAAACCACGTGGACACCTGCAATACCGAAACAACTTTTAGTAGGCCCGAGGGAGCGTTTTGCAATCAATGAAACGGATTCCTCCGAACGCTGGTGGAATTTGGCCTGCTATTGAAAAAAAAAATCATAATAATAATAAGCACCTTCAGGAGCGTTTGAAAAAAAAATTGCAAGTCTGGCCTTGCGCTTGTCTACTAAGAGCTAATTTTTCACATTTTCTATTTTTCAACATACCTGTGTGAGTGTCATCCTCGTAATGATCGCAAGCATGATCTTCTCCCCTTTGGTGGGGTAAGGGTTTTTCTGGTGCTCCTGCAGCCAGGCCTTCAGGGTGCTGGTGGTCTCTCGTGTGGCGGTCTTGGCTCTCGACGGGTCGCCGTATGGGTACTGTCCGTACGGGTAGAAACCTTGAGCGGCGTGCACAGGTAGAGGGCCCGGGTGGGAACCGGGGCTGTCCTTTAACTCGTACTGAGAGCCCTGAAATTGGGAGGACAGAAGGGACAAATTCTTGGCGGGGGAGAGCATTTATATTGTGTGAGAATAATTTTAGTTGAATTGCAATAATAATAATAATAATAATAAATAACAATAATTGTTTGTGAAGGTGTCCGAACATAATTTAGATTATGTTTCTCAATGCAATTTTGCAATTTTAGACAAAGCGTTTTTTGTCAATTGCGTGTAAGAATATTTTGTTGTGGTAATGTTCAGCATATATCAATACACTTTCGATGTTTGAAACTGCTTTTGGATCCAAAAAAAATTTAAGTGCAATTGTCGCAATAATACTTTTACTTTTAAACATATAAAATGTGCTTCTGTAATTCGTTCACATTTAATCTTACACAGTCTACCCGTGTCGGAAATGAATGACCGTACGTTCAGGCTAATTAACCGTGTCACTTGAGTTATGTAACAAGTCTTACCATTTGAGAGATGAGGGCGAGGTCTGGTGCTCCGCTGTACGGCAGAAAGGCACTGTAGTTGGGGGCCGCCCATGGGCTCCCGTACATCCCCAGCATGGAGCCCACGGCGGCGGCCGTCGCAGACGAGCTGACGCCGCTTTCGCTGCTTCCTTCCCGGCTAGAGGCCGACCGTTCGCTCGAGTACACCTCGTGAGCGGCGTTGAGGAACTGGGGGTACCCCAGTTGAGGGAAAGCCATGTCCAATAAAATCTCTCCCGAATGGCGACAAGAGAAGGCAGTGGGAGGGGTGGGAAAAAAAAGAGAGAAAATTCCCAAATAGATAATAGAAGACGCTCAAAATAAAAAAAAAAGGTGTCTCGATCACCAGAGTCGAGCTTCCTTCCACTTTGCGCGCTTCTAACACTCCGAGTCAAAGCCCCACTTTGGCACGCCGAGTGCGGAGTGATGCGCGCGTTTGGCCGCAGGAGCTTTCTGGATGTGGAGCCGACTGACTGATTGGCAGCCTACTTAAGCTCCAAGCTCCTCCTATGCCCAGGGCAGGCGATTAGTGCATTGGTTAGCCCAGGTCGTGGGTGGCTTGTGGTGGGTGCCTGCGTGAGTGTGTGCGCTCGTGGCTGCGTCCTTGTGTGTGTGCGAGTGTGTCTGCGCGCGCGCG